TCTCTCTGTCTTTCTGTTTCTCTCTGTCTCTCTGTCTCTTTGTGTCTCTCTGTCTCTCTCTGTATCTCTCTGTCTCTGTCTCTCTCTGTGTCTCTCTCTCTCCCTCTGTATCTCTCTCTGCCTCTCTCTGTCTCTCTCTCTCTGTCTCTGTCTCTCTGTCCCTGTCTCTCTCTGTCTCTCTGTCTCTCTCTGTCTCTCTGTCTCTCTGTGTCTCTCTGTCTATCTCTGTCTCTCTGTATCTCTCTGTCTCTGTCTCTCTCTGTGTCTCTGTCTCTCCCTCTGTATCTCTATCTGCCTCTCTCTCTCTGTCTCTGTCTCTCTCTGTCTCTCTCTCTCTCTCTCTGTCTCTCTGTCTCTGTCTCTCTCTCTGTCTCTCTCTCTGTCTCTCTCTCTGTCTCTCTCTCTATCTCTCTGTCTCACTCACCTGAGTGTGGCCCATTCACACCACCACCACCACCGCCTCCACCGGCACCACCCCCGTGCTGACCTCCGGCACCTCCCCCTTGACCTCCCCCGTGACCTCCCCCGTGCTGACCTCCGGCACCGCCACCCCCCTCTCCGTGACCTCCTGCCCCGTGACCTCCTGCCCCGTGACCTCCTGCCCCGTGACCTCCTGCCCCGTTCTGGCCGTAGATGAGGACGTGGTGGCCGGCGGCACCAACTCCACCCCCAGAGCCGTAGGCGATGTAGGGGTTACCCTGGTGGTCATAGCTGTAGTGCTGTGGTGGTGGGGGGGTGGTGGGGGGGTGGTGGTGGGGGGGTGGTGGTGGTGGGGGGTGGTGGTGGTGGTGGTGGTGGGGGGTGGTGGGGTGGTGGTGGAGGTGGTGGTGGTGGTGGGGGGGTGGGGGTGGTGGTGGAGGTGGGGTGGTGGTGGTGGTGGGGTGGTGGTGGTGGTGGTGGTGGTGGGGGGGGGTGGTGGTGGGAGGGTGGTGGTGGTGGTGGTGGGGGGGTGGTGGGGGTGGTGGTGGGGGGGTGGTGGTGGTGGAGGAGGTGGTGGTGGTGGTGGAAGATGGAGAGAGAGGGGGGGGGGAAGAGAGACGGACAAGGTATAATCAGGCAATGGGTACCAGACGCAGAATCTCTGTCCTGCCCCGTGTCTCTCTCCCCGTGTCTCTCTCTCCCCGTGTCTCTCTCTCCCCGTGTCTCTCTCTCCCCGTGTCTCTCTCTCCCCGTGTCTCTCTCTCCCCGTGTCTCTCTCTCCCCGTGTCTCTCTCTCCCCGTGTCTCTCTCTCTCCCCGTGTCTCTCTCTCTACCCCGTGTCTCTCTCTCCCCGTGTCTCTCTCTCCCCGTGTCTCTCTCTCCCCGTGTCTCTCTCTCTCCCCGTGTCTCTCTCTCCCCGTGTCTCTCTCTCCCCGTGTCTCTCTCTCTCCCCGTGTCTCTCTCTCCCCGTGTCTCTCTCACCCCGTCTCTCTCTATCCCCGTCTCTCTCTCCCCGTGTCTTTCTCCCCCCGTGTCTCTCTCTCCCCGTGTCTCTCTCTCTCTTCCCGTGTCTCTCTCTCTCCCCGTGTCTCTCTCTCCCCGTGTCTCTCTCTCCCCGTGTCTCTCTCACCCCGTCTCTCTCTCTCCCCGTGTCTCTCTCCCCATGTCTCTCTCACCCCGTGTCTCTCTCCCCGTGTCTCTCTCTCCCCGTGTCTCTCTCTCTCTCTCCCCGTGTCTCTTTCCCCGTGTCTCTCTCTTCCCGTGTCTCTCTCCCCGTGTCTCTCTCTCTCCGTGTCTCTCTCTCCCCGTGTCTCTCTCTCTCCGTGTCTCTCTCCCCGTGTCTCTCTCTCCCCGTGTCTCTCTCTCCCCGTGTCTCTCTCTCTCCCTGTGTCTCTCTCTCCCCGTGTCTCTCTCTCCCCGTGTCTCTCTCAGTGTCTCTCTCCCCGTGTCTCTCTCACCCCAGCTGTCCCCGTGTCTCTCTCCCCGTGTCTCTCTCTCCCCCTCTCTCTCTCCGTGTCTCTCTCTCCCCGTGTCTCTCTCTCCGTGTCTCTATCCCCGTGTCTCTCTCTCCCCGTGTCTCTCTCCCCGTGTCTCTCTCTCCCCGTGTCTCTCTCTCTCCCCGTGTCTCTCTCTCCCCGTGTCTCTCTCTCCCCGTGTCTCTCTCCCCGTGTCTCTCTCACCCCAGCTGTCCCCGTGTCTCTCTCCCCGTGTCTCTCTCCATCACCCCGTGTCTCTCTCTCTCTCTCCCCGTGTCTCTCTCTCTCCCCGCGTCTCTCTCCCCGTGTCTCTCCCCGTGTCTCTCTCTCTCCCTGTGTCTCTCTCTCTCCCCGTGTCTCTCTCCATCACCCCGTGTCTCTCTCTCCCCGTGTCTCTCTCTCCCTGTGTCTCTCTCTCTCTCCCCGTGTGTCTCTCTCCCCGTGTCTCTCTCTCTCTGTCACCCGTGTCTCTATCTCCCCGTGTCCCTCTCCCTGTGTCTCTCTCCCCGTGTCTCTCTCAATGTCCCCCGTGTCTCTCTCTCCCCGTGTCTCTCTCACCCCAGCTGTCCCCTCGCTCTCGTAAGTGTATTTGTCGGCTCGCTTGCGACGAATCTTAAAGAGCTGCGAGCCCTTGTTGGCCAGGAGCGACAGCTCCTCCATCATGATGTCACGTGGGACGCTCAGCTTCTTCATGTGGAACGGGTCGTTCTCTGCACGGCGAGGGGCGAGGTAGACGCAGAGACACGGGGAGAGAGACACGGGGGGAGAGAGAGAGAGACACGGGGAGAGAGAGACACGGGGAGAGAGAGACACGGGGAGAGACACAGGGAGAGAGAGACATGGGGAGAGAGAGAGAGAGAGACACGGGGAGAGAGAGACACGGGGGAGAGAGAGACACGGGAAGAGAGAGACACGGGAAGAGAGAGACACGGTGAGAGAGAGACATGGGGAGGGAGAGAGAGAGAGAGAGACACGGGGAGAGAGACACGGGGGGAGAGACACTGGGAGAGAGAGACACGGGGAGAGAGACACGGGGAGAGAGACACGGGGAGAGAGACACGGGGAGAGAGACACGAGGAGAGAGAGACACGGGGAGAGAGAGACAAGGGCAGAGAGAGAGACACGGGGAGAGAGAGACACGGGGGGAGAGATACACGGGGAGAGAGAGACACGGGGAGAGAGAGAGAGACACGGGGAGAGAGAGAGAGACACGGGGAGAGAGAGACACGGGGGAGAGAGAGACACGGGGGGGGGGGGAGAGACAGGGAGAGAGAGACACGGGGAGAGAGAGAGACACGGGGAGAGAGAGAGAGACACGGGGAGAGAGAGACACGGGGGAGAGAGAGACACGGGGAGAGAGAGACACGGGGAGAGAGACACGGGGAGAGAGACACGGGGAGAGAGAGACACGGGGAGAGAGAGACACGGGGAGAGATAGACAAGGGCAGAGAGAGACACGAGGAGAGAGAGACACGGGGAGAGAGAGACACGGAGAGAGAGAGACACGGGGGAGAGAGAGACACGGGGAGAGAGAGACACGGGGAGAGAGAGACACGGGTAGAGAGACACGGGGAGAGAGACACGGGGAGAGAGACACGGGGAGAGAGAGACACGGGGAGAGAGAGACACGGGGAGAGAGAGACACGGGGAGAGAGAGACACAGGGAGAGAGACACGGGGATAGAGAGACACGGGGAGAGAGAGACACGGGGAGAAAGACACGGGGATAGAGAGAGACACGGGGAGAGAGAGACAAGGGGAGAGAGAGACACGGGGATAGAGAGACACGGGTAGAGAGAGAGGCACGGGGAGAGAGAGACACGGGGAGAGAGAAACGGGGAGAGAGAGACACGGGGAGAGAGACACGGGAAGAGAGACACGGGGAGAGAGAGAGACACGGGGAGAGAGAGACACGGAGAGAGAGAAACGGGGAGAGAGAGACACGGGGAGAGAGAGACACGGGGAGAGAGAGAGACACGGGGAGAGAGACACACGGGGAGAGAGAGACACGGGGAGAGAGAGAGAGACACGGGGAGAGAGAGAGACACGGGGGAGAGAGAGACACGGGGAGAGATAGACACGGGGAGAGAGAGACACGGGGAGAGAGAGACACGGGGAGAGAGACACGGGGAGAGAGAGAGACACGGGGAGAGAGACACGGGGAGAGAGACACGGGGAGAGACACGGGGAGAGAGAGATAGGGGGAGAGAGAGACACAGGGAGAGACACGGGGAGAGAGAGATAGGGGGAGAGAGAGACCCGGGGCGAGAGACACGGGGAGAGAGAGACACGGGGAGAGAGAGACACGGGGGGAGAGAGACACGGGGAGAGAGAGACACGGGGAGAGAGAGAGAGACACGGGGAGAGAGAGACACGGGGAGAGAGAGACACGGGGAGAGAGAGACACGGGGAGTGACACGGGGAGAGAGAGACACGGGGAGAGAGAGACACGGGGAGAGAGACACAGGGAGAGAGAGACACGGGGAGAGAGAGACACGGGGAGAGAGAGACACGGGGAGAGAGAGACACGGGGAGAGAGAGACACGGGGTGATGGAGAAAGACACGGGGATAGAGAGACACGGAGAGAGAGAGACACGAGGAGAGAGACACGGGGAGAGAGACACGGGGTGATGGAGAGAGACACGGGGAGAGAGACACGGGGTGATGGAGAGAGACCGAGAGACAAGTTGAGTGTTTGTCAATGTGAAGGGAGATTCTCAATCTTATTGTGGTGGTGTTGTTGGTTTTGATGTTGTTGGTGATGGTGGTGATAGTGGTGATAGTGGAGGTGGTGAGGGTTATGGTGGAGGTGGTGATGGTGGTGATGGTGGTGATGGTGGTGATGATGGTGATGGTGGTGATGGTGGTGTTGGTGATGGTGGTGGTGATGGTGGATGTGATGGTGGTGATGGTGGTGATGATGGTGGTGGTGGTGGTGATGGTGGTGATGGTGGTGGTGATGATGCTGATGGTGATGATGGTAGTGATGATGCTGATGATGATGCTGTTGGTGCTGTTGGTGACTTCACCGTCGACGATGGCGATCGCTGGGGTCCTGGACCTCGTGGGCCTGTTGCTCTTGGGCGGAGCGGGAGGGGCCATTTTCTGTCACGTGACACGGGGACAAAGACACCGCCATTAGCCACGTGGGAGGCCACGTGGGAGGCCACGTGGAGAGCCACGTGGGAGGCCACGTGGAGAGCCACGTGGGAGGCCACGTGGAGAGCCACGTGGGAGGTCACGTGGGAGGCCACGTGGGAGGCCACGTGGAGAGCCACGTGGGAGGCCACGTGGAGAGCCACGTGGGAGGCCACGTGGGAGGCCACGTGGGGGGCCACGTGGGAGGCCACGTGGAGAGCCACGTGGGAGGCCACGTGGAGAGCCACGTGGGAGGCCACGTGGAGAGCCACGTGGGAGGTCACGTGGGAGGCCACGTGGGAGTCCACGTGGGAGGCCACGTGGAGAGCCACGTGGGAGGTCACGTGGGAGGCCACGTGGGAGGCCACGTGGGAGGCCACGTGGAGAGCCACGTGGGAGGCCACGTGGGAGGCCACGTGGAGAGCCACGTGGGAGGTCACGTGGGAGGCCACGTGGGAGGCCACGTGGAGAGCCACGTGGGAGGCCATGTGGAGAGCCACGTGGGAGGCCACGTGGAGAGCCACGTGGGAGGTCCCGTGGGAGGCCACGTGGAGAGCCACGTGGGAGGCCACGTGGGAGGCCACGTGGGAGGCCACGTGGGAGGCCACGTGGGAGGCCACGTGGAGAGCCACATGGGAGGTCACGTGGGAGGCAACGTGGGAGGCCACGTGGAGAGCCACGTGGGAGGTCACGTGGGAGGCCACGTGGAGAGCCACGTGGGAGGTCACGTGGGAGGCCACGTGGGAGGCCACGTGGGAGGTCACGTGGAGAGCCACGTGGGAGGCCACGTGGAGAGCCACGTGGGAGGCCACGTGGGAGGTCACGTGGGAGGCTAGCTAGTAAAGTGTATGCACATTGGAGAGGTTCATCGTGAAATCAAATAATAATAATAATAAAATTATTCTAAATCTTATTGTCATTGTTGGTGTTGCTACAGCTTTAGATCTCTGGACACATTTTCAATCACCCCCCACCCACACCACCCCAGCCACACCACCCACACCACCCACACCACCTACACCACCCACTCACTCACCCACTCACCCACCCACTCACTCACTCACTCACCCACCCACCCACCCACCCACTCACTCACCCACTCACTCACCCACTCACCCACCCACCCACTCACTCAACCAACCCACCCACTCACCCACCCACCCACTCACTCACTCACCCACTCACTCACTCACCCACCCACTCACCCACCCACTAAACCAACCCACCCACTCACCCACCCACCCACCCATCACCCACCCACTCACTCACTCACCCACTCACCCACCTACCCACTCACTCACCCACCCACCCACTCACCCACTCACCCACTCACCCACCCACTCACTCACTGCCCCCACGTAAGATCGCCATACCCGTCCGGCAGCACTGGACAGCTTCCGTGAGATTGGAAGGATGTCCACCCCCCCCACCCCCACTCACCCCCCACCCCCCACTGCAAATTTTAACAACCACAGGGGCATCGCTTTCATCATTTGTGACCAAAATAGACGCTGTTGTAACAGATAGTTCAGCAACATCGCCTTGCCAGGCACAGAGAGACATTCACGATCTCAGGAAAGGGCTGTCCTGGTCATGGTGGTGGTGGTGGTGATGGTGAATCTGTCAGTCATCTGAGTCAGTACAACCCGTGGCACCTGCAGGGTCTGTCCACGTGACCTCCTCCTTATGCACCTAGCCTGGCACAGCAGTACAACCCATGGGCACCTGTTGGGTCTGTCACGTGACCTCCTCCTCATGCACCTAGCCTGGCACAGCAGTACAACCCATGGGCACCTGTTGGGTCTGTCACGTGACCTCCTCCTCATGCACCTAGCCTGGCACAGCAGTACAACCCATGGGCACCTGCAGGGTCTGTCACGTGACCTCCAACTCGTGCACCTAGCCTGGCACAGCAGTACAATCCATGGGCACCTGCTGGGTCTGTCACGTGACCTCCTACTCATGCACCTAGCCTGGCACAGCAGTCAACCCATGGCACCTGCTGGGTCTGTCCACGTGACCTCCTCCTCATGCACCTAGCCTGGCACAGCAGCAGCAGGCAACCCATGGCACCTGCAGGGTCTGTCACGTGACCTCCTGCCAGCGGGCGTTCGACACTTCACGTGGCCTCAACGTGCACCTAGCCTGGCACAAGCGTCGTGGTGACGTCACCGTCACTTAGTGGCGAATGACGGTTGTTGTTGTTGTTGTTGTGTGTGTGTCTATGTGTGTGTGTGTCTATGTGTGTGTGTGTCTATGTGTGTGTGTCTATGTGTGTGTGTCTATGTGTGTATGTCTATGTGTGTGTGTCTATGTGTGTGTCTGTGCGTGTATGTGTCTATGTGTGTGTGTCTATGTGTGTGTGTCTATGTGTGTGTGTCTATATGTGTGTGTCTGTGCGTGTGTGTGTCTATGTGTGTGTGTCTATGTGTGTGTGTCTATGCGTGTGTGTCTATGTGTGTGTCTATGTGTGTGTCTGTGTGTGTGTGTCTATGTGTGTGTATACCTGTGTGTGTCTATGTGTGTCTATGTGTGTGTGTCTATGTGTCTGTGTGTGTCTATGTCTATGTGTGTGTGTCTATGTGTGTGTGTCTATGTCTATGTATGTGTGTCTATGTGTGTGTGTCTATGTGTGTGTGTGTCTATGTCTATGTATGTGTGACTATGCGTCTTTGTGTGTGTCCATGTGTCTATGTGTCTGTATGTGTGTCTATGTGTCTGTGTGTGTCTATGTCTATGTACGTGTGTCTACGTGTCTCTGTGTGTGTCTATGTCTATGTATGTGTGTCTATGTGTATGTGTGTGTGTCTATGTGTATGTGTGTGTGTCTATGTGTATGTGTGTTTATCTATATGTATGTGTCTATGTCTATGTATGTGTGTGTCTATGTCTATGTATGTGTGTCTATGTGTCTATGTGTGTGTGTCTATGTGTGTGTGTCTATGTGTATGTGTGTGTCTATGTCTATGTATGTGTGTCTATGTGTATTTGTGTGTGTCTATGTGTCTGTGTGTGTCGATGTGTCTGTGTGTATATGTCTATGTGTATGTGTGTCTATGTGTCTGTGTGTGTGTCTATGTGTTTGTGTGTGTGTCTATGTGTGTCTATGTGTGTCTATGTGTGTGTGTGTCTATGTGTGTGTGTCTATGTGTATGTGTCTATGTGTGTGTGTGTCTATGTGTATGTGTGTCTATGTGTCTATGTGTATGTGTCTATGTGTGTGTGTGTCTATGTGTATGTGTGTCTATGTATATGTGTATGTGTCTATGTGTGTGTGTCTATGTGTGTGTGTGTCTATGTGTATGTGTGCCTATGTGTATGTGTCTATGTGTGTGTGTGTCTATGTGTCTATGTGTGTCTCGGGTTTCGGTTTAATCTTGGACGCTGAATCAGCGCTGGACCAAGATTAGACACGAACATGCACACGCAGATACAAAGACAAAGATCCCCCAGGTAGCCTCTAGCAGGCTGTAGGGGCAAGTGCTGTTAGTAGCAAAGACAAAGATCCCCCAGGTAGCCTCTAGCAGGGCTGTAGGGGCAAGTGCTGTTAGTAACAAAGACAAAGATCCCCCAGGTAGCCTCTAACAGGGCTGTAGGGGCAAGTGGCTGTTAGTAGCAAAGACAAAGATCCCCCAGGTAGCCTCTAGCAGTGCTGTAGGGGCAAGTGCTGTTAGTAGTAGCGAGTAGCACAATGACAAAGATCCCCCAGGTAGCCTCTAACAGGGCTGTAGGGGCAAGTGGCTGTTAGTAGCAAATACAAAGATCCCCCATCAAGCCTCTAGCAGGGCTGTAGGGGCAAGTGCTGTTAGTAGCACAAAGACAAAGATCCCCCAGGTAGCTTCTAGCAGTGCTGTAGGGGCAAGTGCTGTTAGTAGCACAAAGACAAAGATCCCCCAAGTAGCCTCTAGCAGGGCTGTAGGGGCAAGTGCTGTTAGTAGCACAAAGACAAAGATCCCCCAGGTAGCCTCTAGCAGGGCTGTAGGGGCAAGTGGCTGTTAGTGGCAAAGACAAAGATCCCCCATATAGCCTGTAACAGACTGTAGGGGCAAGTGCTGTTAGCGAGCACCTATGAAGGCCGGAACGGTACACGAGGGGGTGGGTGGTCAGCACCACGCCCGACCGCCTTTGTCTTCCCAGTGGCAATGTTTACACACCGCACCAGGTACTCATTTGAGGCTGAGTCGACCTAGAGGAGGCCCGGGACCGGTTCAGATAATCGTCACTGGTGTTGGCCGTGAGCGGGAATCGAACCCGGATCGCAGGTTCATAGCGCAGTGTAGCGCTAACTACTACACTACCGCTCCCCACACAGATAGACACAGAGACACACTTACATAGCCATACTCACACAGACACACACTTACATAGACATACTCACACAGACACACTCACACAGACACACACTTACAAAGACATACTCACACAGACACACTCAAACAGACACACACTTACATAGACATACTCACACAGACACACTCACACAGACACACACTTACATAGACATACACAGACACACTCACACAGACACACACACCTACACACACACACACCTACACAACAACAACAACCGCCATTCGCCACTAAGTGGCGGTGACGTCACCACGACGCTTGTGCCAGGCCATGTGCACCTTGAGGCCACGTGAAGTGTCGAACGCCCTCTGGGCAGGAGGTCACGGGGCAGACCCAGGTGCCATGGGTCGACTGACTGAGATGACTGGCTGATGCACCACCTGTGCCCCCTACTGTGCCAACCTGCTGTGCTTTAGCCACCCGGCGCTCCGCTCGTTGTTGTGAGCGTCGCTCCTCCGCCCTCCGTTGTTGTTGGAGGGCGACTACCTCCAACTGCCCAGTAGCATCCTTCACGAGCCTCCTCCACAGAGGCCGATCTTGACACCGCTGGTACCAGTCATCGGGTAGTCCACTCAGCTCCACGTCCTCCTGTACCACATCACTCCATCTCTTCTCTA